GGCAGTGGTGGGAGTTGGCAGGAGTAGCAGGAGGAGAGGAGGAGTAGCTGTAGTGGGGGGCGGCAGTGGTGGGAGTTGGCAGGAGTAGCAGGAGGAAGAGGAGTAGCAGTAGTGGGGGGGGCGGCAGTGGTGGGGGTTGGCAGGAGCAGCAGGAGGAGGAGGAGTAGCAGTAGGCTACAGATACACACACACAAAGGCTGTCCTAGTCAAACATCTGTGAAAACTGGGTCAAACAGTTAAAAAGTTTCTTTTTTGCAGTTTTCAAAGGCCTTACTAGCTAGTAAGCATTGTGAGCCTCCAAAGGGGAGAGCAGTGGGCCCAAACTTTCTGGACCATGGAACGTCGACCCAGCAGAACACGCGTGGAGCTATTGCGTGGCACCAGCGGGGACCGCCGTGCTTGACTGCACTGCCCCCAGCCCCAGCACAGTACCTCAGTCACGCCCCCCCCCCCCAATCTCACCTCACACTCCCTTACGGGCTCCATCAAGCTTCCAGCCCAACACGTTCCGGGATTGCTCTTGTCCAGGGTCCTGAAGACCTCCCTGGGCCCCACCCCAGCCCCTCGGCCCACCTCTGTCATTGCCCCTTAGAAACTTCCCCTGCCAGCAACACCCCACCTCCCTTTTAGCAAATAAGCACTAAGACTTCAGCTTCGTTATCACGTGGAAGAGGCCACCCCACCTTCAGTAGCCAAGGAGCCCTACTTCCACTCCCAGAAGAGGCGCTGGTGATCTCATCTGTTGCTTTATTGTACTGGCAGTCTCCTCTGGAACCAGCTCTACTTCCAATGTTCAAAAGCCAGAGTCTGGAAAATCTTTTGGATTTAAGCTGACCTGGGACAGGGTCTGCAGCACCCACAGCAGAAGACTCCTTCCTGACAGGTTCACACTTCCTCACCAGCAAAAAAAGGCTATTTTCTCCTCATGTCCCCCTCCCTTCTCGGCTGCTGTGGAAGGCAACCCCACAAGGAAGTCGCGGCACGCGAGCGACATCTAGTGACACAGATGAATGACTCTGAAACACAAGGTTGAGGCCTGCAGAGCTGTGAAGGGCCGTGGAAGTCTTTCTGGCAAATGTGCTCCCTCCCCGACCTTCCCAGCTTGGGCTTCCTTTTATAGACACACACAGGGAGGTGCTGTTTATTGTTTTCTTTTTTTAATGAAACTAAATCACTGCTTACAAAAACCTGCAAGAGCCCTCATGCCCATCCCCTTCACACTTCCCTTGGCTCAGCCTCTCCCCATCTCCCAGGAACCGAAACTCAATGAATGCCATGAGGGGAGAGGCCCTGGGCTCCGACCCGAGCCTTCACAGGGTGACAGTTCTACCTCCCATGATCCTTCCTGTCAGGCTGGAGGTGGCATGGATGAGGGTGGTCCCCGCCGCCGTGGCTCTCAGGTCACCACCCGGACCAGAGTGAAATGATGTGAATGCCCCGCCCCAGAGACCCCCCTCCCCCAGTAGTCTCTCCCCTTCCTC